TCACTAGAGCCGGCTTGATCTTGAAATTGTTTGCCGCCACAAGAGGATGTAGGATCGGCGATTGAATGTCCGCCGGCCTTGGGGCCATGTAGTACCCCATCGTCCTCAGGCTCCTTCTTCTCCCGCTCCTCATTCATATGGCGCGCTTGAGAGGCTCCATCTTGCCTTTGGTTCCCCCCCCCCCCCTCCATTTCCTCTTCAATGATGGGCTCAACTTCCACTTCTTCAACTACTTCTCCACTAACACCTGGACCCAACTATTGTCCCCCTCTTTCACTCCTTCTCCTTGCCTCGGTTAGCTCTCTCTCCCTTGCTAGGAGTCAGAGAGTTCGGTTTATGTCATCGTCAAGTGGTAGCAAGGGCGCCTGGTTGCTCCGGGTCATACACCTCCTACACACAATCGGAAAACACCAAGTCTAATACAAGCAAAGAACACACACACTTGAAAAATTTGAAATTAAAAGATAGATTAACAACCAACAACTTTTTCAGAATAACAGACCGTTGTCCCTGACAACGGCGCCAAATACTTGACTCATTCAAAACCTGGAGATCCCGGGTTCGAATCCCTTAAGTTGTACCTTAATCACAAAAATGAAACCTATATCACCCTTATAAAAAAATGTATGTAGGTGGTCTTGGTTCTAATGTTTATAGGAATTTTAGATAGGATACATACATAAATGCACCTCCTTTTATCTATGATAAACTCTTCCTTGTAAATCTTTCAACTCAGTTTGGTATTCCTTAGTCTTCACTATGGGGATTTCCTATGGAAAAAATATGTATTCCTATCCCCTCCCTCAACTAGTAAGCTCTAGACCTCTTCTTCCAGGAATATGAGTTCCTTAAGCTCTTTCTCAAAAGCTTAACTTTGAATTATCACCGCTCTATCTTTTTTTTTTCAAGATCGCTAAAGATTTTCCACTTTTTTCTTCATTGTTTTGATGGTACCAAAGGTATCTCGACTCCACTTGAGTAATCTATGTTCACAATTGGCTATCTTCTAAATCGTGGAGACATAAGCCCGTCAGCTCTACCATTATTTGATCACCTTCACACAATCCTCATGCCTTGGCTAGTAGGTTCATATCCGAATGACTAACCCACCTTATTGGATTCTCTTGTAACTCAACTCCATATACAGTTGAGGAAGTCTTTTCGAATTGCCTAATTAGTTTATTCCAGTGGATGATAATATCTAGGCGGCGGGTACACTACTCAAGAGGACCTAGAGTGATTTAGTCGAGCCTCCAGACTATCTCAAGACTTTCCATGGTATAAACATCAACTAAATTGAATTGGGTGAACTACAACTTAAACTAATTACAGACTAGGGGGGATGCTTACCTGAGTGGTCTTTCTCGAATTTGGAAATTAGAACATTTACCTGCTTTCACTTCTGTTTTAAATACAAAAAATTTCTCTACACTTTGACCGCTAGATAATATATAATTCACCGAGTAGTCATTACATCTAGGACCCGGGTTGATGAGTAAAACTGAACCCAATATACTACATTCCTAAGTTGCCATTACACTTGATAATTTCTTAAGGTGTTGGTATTTGTGAGACCACCAGAGGGTAATTTCTTAACAGCCTAGATGTCACTTAGCACAGTGCATATGGTAGTATACTATAGAGTCATAAGCATCCATGATAAGAAGTATTGAACTAAATGAACATCAAATCATATACATAGATATCGAAACATAAAGAATCCATGCATACGTATATGATATCAAAATTTAGAAGTATCAACATAAGCATAATATGAAATCATAACATCCATACATGCAAGATAAATGAGTTCACTTTCTCATACAATTAATTCCAAATAAGCTAAACATAGAAGTGAAGGAGGGTAATTTCTTAACAACCTAGATGTCACTAATCACAATGCATATGATAGTATACTATAGAGTCATAAGAATCCATGATAAAAAGTATTGAACTAAATGAACATCAAAATCATATACGTAGACATTGAAACATAAAGAATCCATGCATACATATAGGATATCGAAATTTAAAAGCATCAACATAAGCATAATATGAAATCATAACATCCATACATACAAGATAAATGAGTTCACTTTCTCATACAATTAATTTCAAATAAGCTAAACATAGAAGAGAAGGAGGGTGCCACCATCGATGATGAAAACATCTTACACCCTATCTTACGAATGCTAATCTATCACTCAAGAATAGTGTTTATAGAAGTTTTGAGTGAATTTGTGCATACTACTAAACTAATGAGGCTAGCCCTCTATTTATAGAGTAGAACTCGGCCAAAACACTCCTAAAACCACTAGGAAAAAGGTTTCTTTGACTTGGGACCGAAGCATGACCTAAAGATCTTCTATTGGGGCTTGGGCCTCATGTCGGAAACTGTCGCCCCTTTTCTTCTTAAGATGGCCTCCTTGGCCCATGGAAAACCTCTCTGAATTTTTAGGAGCGAGTTATCTAGGTTTCCATGAGCGGATTGGACCATATGCTTCATCCGAGTCATCCTCCATTGGGCTCTACTTATTGTTATTAGTAGACTCTCCATCATTTGACCCCGTCTTTATCATGACAACTCCATAATACTCTCTTTATAGCTCTTTTGGTCCTCTAGAGTTGCCTAATGCTTGATCCAAATCCTCCTTGGTCATGTTGTTCCTGCAAAGCCACAAAAAAATACCAAGAAGGCATCAAAGAGTACAAAAACAAATCAAAGGTCTACAAAAAGCCTCATTGATCAAACAATTATGATTTACGTATGAATTACAAGAGAAAGTACTAAAGATGCATAGATAAAAGGGAAAATTATATCAAATATTAGAGTGATAAACACTATAAATAGAGTGTCATCATCAACAGTGCCAACTCCAAGAATGTGACAAAGGCTTTATTACCCCATCTCGCCAAAGTAAGGAGGGTGAAAATTTCTTGAAAATAGTTACTTTTCGTGGCTATTAATAGAGGAGTGTGATGACAAAGCAAGGGTTCACAAAAATCACAACTCAACAACACTTGTATATGGTAAGTTCCAACCCACACGAAAGGCGTAACAATCTGGGCACTGTCTTAGTGGTCAAATTTTTACATTTTCTTTGTAATTTTAGTCATAATTGATTTATAGAGCAATCAAAGCAGTCAAAAGCGCGATTCTACCTAGAAGCAGACAAGGGGTAAAATCGTAAAACGTAGAATCAAAGCATAAAAGCGTAAGTTTTTGACGCATACTGAAAAAATAACTAAAAATGTATTAAGTAGGACATATGCTATGCAAAATATGAATGCAAAGAATTTAGATAAGTCAATAAATACATGCGAGTCATGCCTAAAGTAGAACAACTTATAGCATCTTAATAATAAGTTTGTAAACATAAATTTTAACAATAAGCCACTTTTTCCACTATGGTAATGAATTTGGGAAAATTCTAACGGGTGAATTAGATTACTCAACGAAGTTGAGAATGCATCCAAGTACCTTATATGTATCTTTTAATCTCAAATGTATCATATTGTTGGGGATTTACTTTTAAAATAACTTTTCATAATTAATTTCATGAAAATAATACTCATTTAGTGAACTAAAAGCGTAAAAACGTAAAGCGTTTTGGAGAACTAGAAGCGTAAAACCGTAAGCTTTTAAGCTTTAAAGCACAATTTAGTCCGATTTTATACACTTAAGTTTTTATATGGAAACGAAAGCGTTTTGATGACCTAAAAGCGTAAAATCGTAAGTTTTTAAGTTTTAAAGCGCGATTTTGACTGCATTGAGAGCAATGATACAACTTTCATGGAGTAGGTTGATGTAATGTAGTTTGTCTCAAAACCACTAAATATGAAACACCATCGTCTGAAATACGGTTAAAGAGGGTTGAGCTGTATTTCAACGATCATTATCAAAAGAAGTCAAGACATGTGCAATTGATTCAAGTCAATAGAAGTTTTCTTGCTGGAAAGCAATAGCAAACCCCCCTCTCCTTGATTTTGACTGATCGTATAGTTAGTTAGTTAGTTATTTACCACTTAGTCTATTAGATTAAGGACTTCAATTTATCACACTATTTATGGTCTTGATTGTCAAACTCTAATAGTTAATACATTGGAATATAAATTTATATTAGTAGCAAAAGGGCAGGCTTAATATGTGTCTCATTTGATTAAACAAACATCATTCCTGACCAATTTGTAAAGTCCAAAAAAATATTGTTTGGTGGACCTCTACAAGGTAGCTATACTCACTTCTTCCTGGTTGTTATGTAATTGGTAGTCATTTGTTACAAGAGAGTTACGTGTGTATTCGACCCTTGTAAGCTAAACCATCTCCTCATGACTATCTATAGTATTGAATTATTTATTGCATAGGCTACACATTTAACAAGTGCATCCTACATATTTAACAATGGCATCCTTTACGTTAAATGCAGTAGACGCCATTCAACTTTCTAGAAACCCATTTGGAACTGTGTACTCTTTTATTCTGAAAGGCTCGACTGTAACTAAAGTGTTGGTTCCTAATTTAGGATCCTAGATTCATCAATAGTTTAGAATAATAAAGTTAGATCGCCCGTCACAATTACTCTATCAAATCAATGTTGATAAGCTTTTACGAGTTCTTCAATAGTGTGCTTCTTTTCTTGTATAGGTCAGGGAAATGAACAAGGGCAATTTTACTCAGCCATGAAAAGGGTCTAGTACCACTGCTTCTTTTCTTGTATAGGTCAGGGAAGAATGCACTGTGCCTATTCTTGTGCTGCTGTTATGTTGGCTACCGAATGTTGCTTTTATAGATTGTTCGATTATCAATCAAGGAAATGAACAAGGGCAATGTTGTATGTATAGTGTAAAAATGGCAAGAGCTAGTTAATAATGGTATAGATCAAGAAATGTTACATAAATGACATGGTTTGATTAAGATCTGACATCAACACACTGAACCTAAAAATATTAACTAGCAAAAGATAAAAATTTGCAGACATTAAGATAAGTAACTAGGCATTTTACTGCAATAATCTTTAATTCGAAAGTTAGCAACAAATGTTTCTCTCAGTCTCTGCCTCTGTTCCAACTGATACTGAGAGGTATCAACAGCAAGTAAAGCTCCAACTAACACTAGCACAAAAACACTGTTCCTCCTATTACCGGCTGGGTCATCATCGATCGGCAAGGTCGCAAACACCAAGCCGTCGGAGTCGGTGGTACCCTAGCGTCAATGATCTGGATCTCAGAGGATGCTCTGTCTTGTTTCCTTCTCACTGAGCATATCACAAGATCTATGGCAACGCCGTTAAGCCGGTACTCCGTCATTGAGAATCCATCTCCGGCTTCCTTGTTCCTCGGCGCCGCAGATCTTAGGTTGGGAAGGTAGGTAAAAGTCCACTTCAACCCAATCTGGACTTCCTGGCCGGAGAGAAAAATTGGGTCATCCTTGCTTGACCGCCACGTGGCCTTGAAGCCAACGGTCCTCTCAGCCCTACCACCGCCACCGTCCAATTCCCCGTTCTTCGCCTTGGCCTTCTTCAATCTAGGGAAGAAGTACAACTCTGATTCCACTATTTCAACAAACAGCTCTTTTCAAGCCTCATCTTCACCATAATGGTCGCAATCGATCACCGGATTTTGGGGCAAAGCATTTCCATGACCTTATCGAGGAGATAAGTGACGATTTGGTCGTCTGTGGGCTCAAATTGGACCCCGGGTGTTATTCCCGAGATCCTCATTCTTGTGGCAGCGACGGTGACGGTGAAGTAATTCCTTTTGGTTTCCTTAGTTTGGCTTCGATCGAAGAAACCCTAGACTGGAAGGGCAATATTCGTCATCACCGATGGCCGTCATCGTACTTTCGGCCTGGATTGGGAAGGCCGCGACGATGGGCTCGCATAAAAGTGGAGCTCTTACTATTGGCCAATTATTACGCGATTAGGGTTAGAGAAGTAACTTGAAAGGCTTGCCCATTGTGATGTTCATAAAGGCTTTACCAATGGACTGGCTATTGACCTATTCCTATAAGGATTAGGAGGACGGTTTTCCATCACCGACAAGGAAGCAGTCTAGAAAAGGTGGGAGAGGATTCAAGTAACTTTGTCTGGCAACTGGCGGGAAAGGAATCGAGCAATGGTCTAAAAATAAGATAATCGTCGGCTTTCTTTTCTCCCCTTATTGTTGCTGTTGCAAGTATAAAATTGGCTGAAAGCCCGGTAATCAAAAGGAGAAATGTGGGTTTATGGTTAGGACTTTGGATGGATGGAGGAATGTGTTGCTCATGTAATATGATTAATGGATTAAGAACTTTGTAAAAAGGAACAATCGACAGTGAAAATGTGACCTCTAGCACAATCATGAGATTCAGGTCACATCTTTATACTTCAACATTTTATTAATCGGTTTAAGCTGTAAGCAATAGGTAAGCTAAGTCCCTTCCAATTATAAAACATGTAACCATGTCCGCATGCTGCAATCTGTTGTAATCATTCATACCCAAAAGGAGCACTTCTACTATGCTATATAGTATTGGTGCTTTAATGTACAACTTGAAGTTGTACCATAACATTAAATGTACAAGTTTAGGTTGTACCATAAAGGAATTTGTATCATTATGTTATGGTACAACTTTACAACTTGAAGTTGTACCATCACATAAGGTACAAGTTTAAGTTTTACCATAAAAGAATTTGTACAAAAAGTATAGGTACAATCTGAAGTTGTACCATAACATTAAAGGTACAATTTCGAGTTGTACCATAAAGGTAAAAACCTATAGCACCAATGCTATATAGCATTGTAAAATTCCTCACCCAAAAGGTCAAACAAATACTAAACAGGAGAACCACCGGGGACAATTGGATGCAAATCAAAGAAAATAAAATACATATATCTCACTATTGATAAGAAACCATATTTACAATTGTTATTTAATACAAACCAAACTTTCTCTATACATGGCGATCCACATATACACAGCCGTCGTGTATTAAGATTTTATATTTCCGACTGTCAGTATCATATAATATGACTTGGTCACCCATTTGAGCGATAATCTGACTATTCTTCTAGTGTCCTATCATATATGCGCTTTTAGGTAAAGGTCCAAAGCTGGAATGTTTGATCCAACACCACTATTCCAGCAGATTGTGCGGCCTACCCAGCAGCCACATACCAGTACTCAAATCTGTGTGCACATCAAAGAACGCAACTAAGTCCATATATATATAGTGAGCAAAGATGATGCAAATGTATCAAAAGGAAAATTTATCTTGTGGAATGCATTGCTCCACATGTCAAACACCATCAGATGATGAGCGTTCCTATCATCAGGGTCTTCAATATACAGCCAGTATAAGAGCCCCTTAAAGTAGGTACCAAGATGATATATGTTGTGCCTCCACCGGATTGATCGGCCTTTGAGAGCATTACAACTCTCATCACAGGGGTGCAGTAAGACCGATTACATGATGCGGGGTTTACCAGGTAAACGGAAGGTGCAAAAGAGGGAGGCATTGGTTGCAGGGCAATTGGTGTAGTTTTTGAGGTGCATAGCTACGAGGTATGGACTTGTTGGAGTCGTGGTGTCCCAATTCGTGCAGACGGATTTGAAATGGAATAGAGCTTTCACAGTTAGACGAGACAAAATGTCAACCACAATCTTGGGAGGAACATAAAGACCAGATTCTACTACTTCGAGGTTGCATGTTGTGGAATCCTCGTTCACGCGGGCGAGCTAGCCGGCTGCTCGCTAAGGAAACATATATTGCAAGTTTTGGAACACTAACATAGATCGTCTTCCCCGCGCTGCCTTTATCGGCGATTGGGTTTGCCTCTTCCGCTTATGATTTGGAAAGGTTTGGGAATTTGAGAGCGATGGGGCACACTCAGATGAGTTTTCTTTCTTTCTTCCGTTGTGCTCCTGGAAACGGGTGATTTTATCATTTTCAGAGTGATATATAAAATGGAAGTGGTCTAACGGGTCGACCCGCTAATCCACCCAACCCAACCCCAAAAATCACAGGTTATTGGGTTTGGCTCATTCGGGTTTCGGGCTATAAAAACTTCTACTTTTCAGGCGGGTTCGGGCCGGATCAATTGGTCCAGTTGTAATTTGACAGGTTTTATAAAAAAATATAATATGCAACTAAGGTTCAGTTGAACCAAAATTTTGACCTATGCAATTCAATTTCAACCGAAAAAACTAAACAACTATACAACAGTTTGATAAAAACAACAATTTCATAAAGGCAATTAGCTCAACTACACATGACATTATAAAGAAAACATCAGACTTTAAAGGTGATTTTGAAGTAGAAGGAACAAAGAAATTAAAAGAGCAATGCAATTCTTAAAAACCCGATTCTGCTAATTCTTTTCAAAAGCAACTATTACTGCAAATTGTTTGTTAAAGACTTTGCTTGGTAATAGTTCAGTTACACTTAAGAGTAAAAATTCTACTCTACCTATTGTTAGCAAGGGTGCTCCTAGTGGTCGAACATTACATAGGGATACCTTTTGGAGGGAAATACTACAACCTATTCCAAAACAAAACAAAAAGACAAGAATATCATATATCTCATACCCGAAGATAAAACAATATCATCATTCAAGAACTGGATCAATATGTTTGCTCACAAAGTTCATACTACACTTCTTTTGCACTAATCATTCAATTAGCAAATTAGTTCGTAGAAAAATATAGTTCCTGAAACCATTCAAAACAAGCATTCCAACATTCAAATCAAGCGAGATCAATATTAAAGATGATTATTAGTGTCACATAGATTGTTGCAGACAATTAAAATATATAGATAAATAAAACCTTTTTGTGTAGCTAATTGGCCCATCAGGAGAAAATAACCCTCATACAAAGATAATCTTCAAAGATATTCAAATCCAATGGCAAATCTACTTTCATCTCAATCAATCTCTAATGAATTCCGGTTCTTGCTTTTATCAACAGAGGCATCAAATTTCATGTCAGTTTTGCTAGGAGGAAGAATGCTACTTCTACAGATTTCTCTACAAATTAAATTATTCATTCAGTAGCTAATATGAGAGCTAAGGAATAATATAAAAGATTCAGATAACACACATACAATGAAACATAAGTAAAGATCAATAGAGGCAAAAATTAATAGCAAGAGACAAAATACAACGTTAGCTAAACTTTCAAGCAGGTCCATTGCAGACATATCATAACAAAATATGGTACTACTCAAGGAGTATATATGTGGGCAAACCAATCGGCCAGTTTGTTAAAGAGACTTGATGAAGAGGCCTGCATCACCATCCGCTTCTTAGCAAAATGACCTATTACTCTGTTCTTGGAGTCGACCACCGCTGCAAGTTGCTTGCAACAAACATACTCGTTTATCTGCTTCTTCAATTTCGAGATTAGGATTTCATAATCTCTCTCCACAATCAAAGGTTATAAGTTCTAACCGCGAGCCAAAGCTTCATTGATGTAATTTTAAGTTAAGCAATTTAGATATCTGATTCCCCCCCAATTCCCTTAGCAATAAACCAAAGATATATTTGCAATTTTGGACGGGACCGCGCCTCGAAGACCAATTCCAGCTCTCGCAAAGACTCCCGCATCTGTGTTAGATTTGAAGAGCCTCAATGCAGTTTCCATTATTTCGGAGATGAAGATTGGACGTGCAAATCACTCGGTCTGTGCACCTCCAGTTAATCGTGGATCCGAAAGAGAAACATATGAATCGAGGCAATAGCGACAGGGTGATGATGTAAAACTCAATCACCAAAGTGAACTATTGTGCTGTAAATTACCCGAGGTTGAATTAAACATGAGTTGGCATGCCTAGATTTTACTAACATCGACTCGAATCCCTAACAATCTTTGCAATATTTAAAGCATACCTTACAAAATTTAGTTACCTGTGAATCCCCAAAAATTTCAGGGCAAGAAGAAGCAGAGGATGTGAATCATTGGGTCGAACCTTAGAGAGTAGAGAATTTGGTGGAGGATAGTGATTGAGTAGACGGACGGTCGCACAGTAGGAGTGATGGTGACATTAGAGACGGTGGGGTATTGACAGTGAGGCTTTGAGCGTATCAGCTCTCGATTGTGAGCTGGAAGGGTTTGATTATGCATCATTGAGGTGCAAGAACGACCGTACTACAGAATGGATGGACGCACCACGCCTAAGTTGCGAGAATGAGATTGAAGGTCGATCAGTCTTGGGCAAAAATATATAAACATACTTGAGAGGAAGATCTTTAAGGAGGATTGGAGGAGCTATCGGCAAAAAAACACAAAGTGGGCGAGATGAAGGTCTTTGATTCCGGTAGGGATTGGAAGAATGAATATCTTCAGATGGTGACTATAAAATAGATACGGAAGGTGGGACGGGACGGAGAAAGATTTTCGTCAGTTTGGAAGACGACGAGCAAGAAAGAGAAAGGTCACCAAAGTGAAACCTCCAAACTGTGCGGGAAATTCAGCGGGGGATTACATGGCAGAGCCTGTTATTTGACATTGACTTATAGTGTTTTGCAGACCATACATTTGGGGTAAATACATTGTTATAAGAATCAAATGGATCAACTGTTGGGCTCGTTGAACCACCAAATTAGTTACGATAGCGGTCCGATCAATTGCTTGGACGGTTATTGATATACTAAATGATTTTTCACAGTTCAACATATAACCATATGAACCATCACGGTTTAACTGGTTCACTATTTTAACCACAAGTTTTAAAAAAAAATATTTTTACATAAACTAACACCATCAAATCAGAATTAATCATTTTATTTCTGCTTCCTCTTTACATTTTCCAACCTTATTGTTAACTTTACGTGGTCCATTATAGACTGGCACCATAAATTTTAACTTGAATTAAAAAAATTATGATTTCTTCTGTGAGATGGTTTTAATGATTTGTTAGATGTTATGAATTTGAAATTGTTTACGGTCAATGAAAATTTCATTATTAAATTAGTGTATTATATAAGTCTTGTATGTTATACGTCATGAACGGTTCTATCAACGGTGAACCAAACAATTTTGTAACACTGAATCCTAAACCACTAACTTTTTTGGTTCAGTTCTAAAAACAGAGGGTAAATCCCATCCATGCTAGTCTTCCCCAAAACAATTATATGAATCGAATAGTCCCCCTCCCCATCATTCATGAGGGTTCTTAGTCAATTAACTAAACCAAATTGGTAGGTGATTTTTAATAATAAAAATGTTTGAACCTCTTCAAAGAACGTGCCCTTAAAAGGGTTACCTACTTTCGTGGAAGAGGGAAGACCGAAGTCTAAGTGGTTGGATTAGCTTGCTAGAAATTATAATAATTTTTGAAGAAATTTCAAACTAATTAAGGGGATAATCATCTTCCTTACCCGGGTGAGTCGTGACGTATTCTCCACAAAGTGGAATAATCAAGGTTTTCTTCTATAAATAGCAGAGCCCCAGACACTCGATACATAAGATTCATAGAGCACAAACATGTGAGAGTGTTCTTCAGAGAGCTTAGATTTCCGCACAAACAGAGAGTCAGAGAGAGTTGTTGTTTTTATCCCTGAGGCAACTGACTGCTAATCTTTTGTGTGCAATACTAGACAGTATCGTGAACGTCTTAAAATTGAGTTAGTTCATAAATGATCTGAATTCCACATCTCTATTTTTTGTGTTCGGTTTCTAACAGTCGACGACGATGGTGAAGAGGTTAGGAGTGGATAAGGAGATGGGTGAAGAGAGTTCTAGAATATGGTTAATAACCCTCGATTAGCATAACCAGATTTGGCCTCTTGATTTAAAGTGGAATCATATCTAAGGGTTGAGATTAAAAAGGCTTTCATATTTTTTGTTTTAATTTAGATTTAAAAACTTTTTATACAGGTGGATGAGTTCATTATGATCCACAAAATGATATCATGTTTAATATTTTTTGAGAAAATATTTTTCGTACCACCCATACCACTCGTTACCACAAAGGTACTACTCTATACCACCTTCATTTCGACTCAAATTTTGAAGATTTTTGCCAAGAAGTATCGAGTTCATTGTGATTTATTGGATCTACAATTTGATGGGAAAAAAAATTCAAGACCAAATATATCACCCTATACCCAAGGGCGGAGCTAGAGTTTAATGAGTGGGTTGCATGGCACCCCCTAAATTTGGAGAAAACACAAAATCTAGTTGTATTAGTATATTAATAATGATATTTATACCCTAAATATTAATGTCAATTGTCAAATCTAGGGGTGCAACGATTTGGCTCGTATTGCATTGCATCGAACCAAACCGAAATTTCGATCGGACCGCACCACATTGACCATAATATGGCCCGGTATTTGATCCCATGAATTGTTTAAATAGTGAAGAAAAATATACCAAAGTGACATTTGGACCGTACCGAATGCATAGTTGGTCCGGTCTTTGATCCATAGAAGTCTCTTACTATCGGACCGTGGTTCTCCTGAGCTTGGGTCGGACTGGACCGTTGCACACTTCTAGTCCAATCTTCTATCGCTAAACCATAAAAAATCATGTAAATTAATTTTATCTACTAATTTTTACACAATATATTCTAGTTTATCAAGATGTATAAGAGGTGCATATTATTAGATGAAATCATTAAATTTTTGTGACAACTATAGCCGGAAGATCAAATTAGTTTTCATCAATGCATTTATTTTTAGAATAGATTTGTTTTGTTACTACTAGTAATCAATATCAACTTATGCAATGAGACGATTGACCAACCTTTACATCAAACGAATTTCAATTGTGAATGGTTATTTGGTGGGATATATTAAGTACGAAATCTTGAAAGTTTGGACGATTCACGTAGCTCTAAAATAATTTCACAGGCGGGTAGGTCAGCGGCGGATACATGGTGCTTTAAGGGTGTGCCAGGACACCCCTAAAATTTAGGATAACGATTATTCAATCACTACAAGAAATTTGACCTTAAATGACAAAATATTTTTTTCATAATTTTTTTTTCATATTAGGCCACCAATTATGACAAAAAAAGGACTTGTCACGTTTAATTGACTAAATGTGACAAAAGTTGTCTTTGTCATTAAAAGTTGTCATAATAGAGTTATATTGTGACAAATTTCTTGTTGTCATTAGAATGTTGTCTCTTTATGTCTTATTTACCCCGCAAATACCGCTACAGAATGACAAAACACAATGTCACCTTATGGTTTGTCACATTAGGTGCAAAAAATCCTATGATATGACAATAGATTTTGTCATAATATGTCGTGCAAAATGAAATAAACTTTTTGTGTGAAATTTTTTTAGAATTGCTATTTTTCTACAAGTCCATTTGGCGGGACTATTATTCCCCTTCCCACCAAAATGAGAAAAGCCCAATCCTCTCTAACCCTTTAGTGCCAAGAACAGAAAACACCAATTCCTTCTCCTCTACGAATTGAAAAGTCCAAGTCGATCTCCCCTTATCCTCTTTAGCGATTCGTCTGGCTACGTTCTCCTCCCCGAGAATCCATTGTCCGGTAAGTCTAGCTCTTCTCCTCGCCCTGGACTCCTTGTCCTCTGTGATTTTTTTTATTTGCATGCTGGATGCTTGATTCTGGTAAAAGCAGAGTTGGGTTCCTCATGTTTCTTCTTCTACCTCCGTCGTTCATAGTCGCTCTTGCACAAGCGTAGGGATTTTGCTCTGAATCAACACTCTCCAATTAGAAGATCACTATTTCCACTGACGTCCTGTCTTCGCTACCGCGAGTTCCCTCCGTCTACAACCATTCGAGTAAGTTTGGCCGTCGATTCTGTGTACCCAGTGTATGAATTGGTTTACATAGATATCTGTTAGGCATGGTTTTTAGCTGGTGCGCGAGATGAGTCAATTTGATGGAATGGATTTTGATGAAGGCGATATCTGTGGAAAGTGCTTTTTGATGAGGATGATGGTTGTTTGCAACTAGTGGATGTTTTTTTAGAAAACCCAAATTCATTTTTTGTGTCATGAAAACAGATTGGTCTTCTTTGTTTATTGCTGCAATTGGTTAATGTGCCCTTGTTCTTGTTGATTCTTAAACATGTATGATGTGAATATCCATGATTTTTGGGTTGAACTAAGATGACTATCTCTTTACTTGTGGTGGTAAATATAAGTTATTGTAACCTCCAACAGCATGTTGCGTGTACTGTTTATCTCCTTCCTAAGTTCAAACAAGCATAATTTGTTTACTAGATTTGAGCCTCTTTGAACTGATTTCAAGGTTTAATACTACATGCAGGTTAGTATCTCACTGGTCAATTACAACCTGTTGCGTTAAGTTACACACTGCAACCAAAGGTTAGTTATACCTTAACGCGTAATTAGTCGTCAGTGGATTATGCTCAAAGATCATTGGTGTGCTGATTATGAGTTGGGTGTTAATGAGTTCATGGAAGCTGCTTCTAAGCATATCGATGCAATTGGTAGGGTTAGATGTCCATGCAAGAACTGCAATAATCTCTACTTTAAGACATTAGTCCAGGTGCGGGGAGACATATTTAAGCATGGCATGGTTGAGACATATAAAACGTGGGTCCATCATGGCGAGTCATATGGTGTTAGTAGTAGCGCTGTAAACCCACCGACTGAGTCTGGCGATGTTCAGAATGAAGAGAGTGATTTATAGACCGACATGTCTTAAATGTTGGGTGATTTTGGTAGGGCGAATGAGTTTCTAACAACCATTGAACCTTACCATGGTCCTAATAATAATGGTGCATTAGCAAGGCTCTTCAAAGATGCCAACTGCCCTCTTTACCCTGAATGCAAAAAAAATTTCAAAACTATCCTATGTTATGAAAATGATGAATATCAAGATACAGATAAATAATAGTGATAAAACATTTAAACAATATCTTGATCTAGTCAAGGAAGGTTTACCGAATGGGGAAACACTTCCCACTTCATTCTATGAGGTGAAGAAGTATATGCGTGATCTTGGATTTGGTTACACCACCGTCGAGGGGTGGAGGGAGTTCTCTGAGGGGTGGAGGGAGGTCTCCGAGGGGGTCCAAGGAGGACTACTGAACCTATAGAGGAGCTTGAGGAGAATGCAGAGAATACTACCACACCCATGCCTAAACGACCGAAAAAGACAGGTGCGTGTTATCCTAACTCTTGTTAACCAAATATAATATCAAATCCTTTTGTCACTTGAGAAACATGGATTATGACATATCTATTACTGTTTGGATGCTTTGACCTGCATCCATAGGTGGCCGAAAGAGGGGGCTGACCAAAGGTGTTCAAGTGATGGCACGAACCACTGGGGGGGGGGGGGGGTGGGTGGGAGTAGGATCGATGGAGTATTCCTGCAGGAGAACAACCACACAATTGTGAGACTTAACAAAAAGTTGCTGAACACAGAATTTAGTGTCGTTGCTCGTATGATGGCTCCCATAAGGAAGTATTATTGGACCGAGTTGAGTGATGAATACAAGCACTCTATGTTTGTGAAACTAGAGGTACGGTAATTTGTCTCTGCCAATTTAAAACTATAAATTGCATAGTCTGAATGCATGGAATTGGTGAAATTGCATAATGAGTTTGCATTTGCCTCAGCAACTGAAGAGGTGAGGAAGGCTTTAGATAAGAAACTCCGCAAACGCTTCTTCAACTATAAGCACATTTGTCATAAATACTACAAGAAACAAGAAGACCAGACCAAAGCTCTTCTGAACCCTCCAGAAGGAGTGAAGCAGGAAGACTGGGAGGTCCTCTGTGAGCACATTGAGAGTGATCGCTTCAAGGTAAAACTTGCAGTATTTGGATATTTGATCAAACTTGTACAAGATGGTAGCTTAACACACATTTCTGTTTACAGGGGCGGAGCACAAATAACATAAAAAAACAAGGCTAGCAGCAGTATGCTCACACTACCGGGGAAAAATCCCACGACCAGAGAGTGTATGAATTGGTAAAGCATTAAATCTCTATTCACTTCTACAACAACAAATCTGAAAATCATCTTCACGTACATTTCTTAGTATGATAAACAACCCGCTTAGCACACCCTTATCATGTTTGAACATTTTAATAACTATCCTGTATAGGAGCAAAATAAGCTGGCTGCACAAGGAGCTAAAAGTGAGCAGGTAGATGGCCAGTTTGATGATGATGATGATGATGAGGTACTCGTTGACATTGAGTTGTATGCCAACACACACAAGAAGGCAACTGATGGTACTTGGGTGAGCGAGAAACCGAAAGCGAATTATGTAAGCTCTTCTACTCCTCTTATATTGTGTATCTAGTCCAAGAACACAACTGGATATTTGATCTATAGTTACCTTAATAGGTTGAAAGAATTACAGAGGGATCAACAATTACTGTGGTGTTTATATTTTGTGCCTCGTGTTTGTTGTGGTGACCTTTTGATTTTCATGTATGTAAGAGGCGATGCTGGCCCTCCATGCCCAATCCAAGGCAGATAGGAATCCACAGTGTCGGTCATGATATAGTTCAGAAGGTGTTGCAGAGGAAGCTCAAGTATGGACCAAAAGAAACAGTGAGGAAGTCGGCTAGAGAAGTTCAGCTAAAAGCATAACTGGCAGCAGCCAAGGCAGAGGCGGAAAGCAAGACCAAGGAATTGGAGGCTAAGCTGGTAGAGCAGGATGAGAAGATTAAAACTCGGGATGAGGAGATTGAAAAACATAAACAAGAGATTGATTTGCAACATGAGCGTTTGATTTACCAAGGCCAAAAGGTGGAAGAAATGCGACAGGCACAAGAAAAGATGGAAAAGAGTTTGGAATCCATCCTCGCCAAACTTGGCAAGAAATGATTGGATCAAGTACCTAGGTCTTCTTCATGGCACGAATTTGAGCAATAGAACTTAGTAGGTGTGGATGAACAATTAAATACAATGTGAACTCTGAATCTAGCTTGTTCATAGTTTGCAAGTGCAGGTGTGGACGATTCCCTCACGATAGTGTGTAATGTAACTGGAGGAGGTCGTCCCTAGAAGATGTTTTCATGGTCGGATGTTTCTTTAAGTAGTTCTTGGCTGCAAACACATTTTGGACAATATGGTTGTGTCGATTAGAATGTAGGAGTGTGTGCTGTGATGCAGGAATATGAACTATTTTGGCTCTTTGTAAACTGTCAGCTAGGACAACCATCTGTGGTGTGGCATGAATATTCACCAACCAGCTTTTGCAACATGAAAGTGACTTTTGGCATGTTTAATGACAAGTATTCTTATGTCTTTCATTTGTCATATTTACCGTAAACATAGACGAATATATTATCACAAAAAACTGGTATTAAGACACAGGAGTTACTTATTATGACAAATTAGAGTGTCACATAAATTAAAAATTGTGACAAATGTAGTTTATCATAATTAATTTAAGGGAACATGCCCTACAGCTTACAGTGACGAATCAGAATGAAAAACAATTACATCATAATAGGACATTTTGTCCGTTGGTTGTCTTAAGGTGTGACAAAATAAACTGTCTAATGTGACAAAAGCATTGGTCATGGTAGGCTACCATAATATTACAACATTATATTGTCCAGGATGATAGATCAATATTATGACAACACAAAATTCAAATGTGTCACATTAGACCTAATACGAAGGACCAAAGCTGACAAAGCTCGTTTGTCATTAAGCTTGTCACTTTAGATCTAACCTGACAAAATGGTACACTAATATGACAAAGTTTATGCGTAAAAAAATTCAAATTTCTTGTAGTGAATCCCCAGTAGTAGTTTCGTACGGATAAACAAAAATATAATTGTTAATCCGACACACCCCTAAAATTTGAAAATATGATTATCTTACCCTCGATAGTAGTTTGCATATGATTAACAAAAATATAATTGGTAGTCTGTGTTATTCAATCCTAGGACACTACTATTATTAAACATATTCTCCATTAGGTTAACTCATTTGTTGTTCTATTTTACACACTATGTAATAGTAAAAACACGATTCATTATCCCCAGGGGTACCCCCAATTTGAATTGATTTTACGGTTACACATCAAGTGTTGAAAGAGTCTTTACAACTTTGAGTTACATCATAAACAAGGTTAAAAATTGAATATGTGATCAGTTCATGAATTACTGTCTAGTAGGATATATATATTTGTTGAGCAGTGTAGACACCGAATCAATTATATATATTTTTGGAATATGAAAACACATCGTGGTTTTTTGTTCAAATTGTATAAATCGAATATTTTCTTATTTATAAATTATTTAATTATTAATTTAATTTTAGAAGAGGACACCCCTACAAGTTTTTTTTGGGTACCGCCATTGGGGCAGGTGACCTTCTGGACCAAAGCAGCTGGTCAGTAGCCCGTCTCAACATGGTATACCTAACAATTATTGCACGGAAACAAAGCCAAGTACAGGCAAAGTAACTCATGGAGCAAAAGAAAGTTTTGTTTGAAAGTTGCAATTGCAAATTAAAGAAAGCAGAAAGACAGGCCAGGATTGCAAGTTGGCCGACGGACCGGCCCTGCCCTGGCCTGCATTGCATACTCTTGTCTTTCTCCTTTAATCGTCTGCATTTCACAAAGTCACTGGCCCTCCACTAACATGGCGGGCAATGCCTTGTTTAAATCAATGATACAGTGTTACAATTAAAGTCCAATTCTTTAGCTATTTTCACTATTCATTGATGAAATTCCATTCATTTTATTTTTTTGGGTTAATACCTTAGTTTGGTCTTAACTATACACATACTTTCTACTTTGGCCCGTGGTATTGAAAATTGCTATTCTGGCCTGAATTATGTAGCAAACTTCCTCATTTGGCCCGGAGGCGGGTTTGACCGTCAAATTAGATGGTCAAACCTGTTGATCGTTAGTCAATGTCCACCTCACCTGCCACGTCAGCTTTGAGGACATAATTTTTTTTTATGAATTTTATTTTCTTTTGATTAATGAAAAAAATTAATTAAAAGAACGAAAAAGGGCCCATTTTTAGCAAATGACAAGAAAACAAAATTCAGAAAAAAAAAAATTATGTCCTCAAAGCTGACGTGGCAGGTGAGGTGGACATTGTCTAACGGTCAACAAGTTTGACCGTCTAATTTAACGGTCAAACCCGTCTCCAGGCCAAATGAGGAAGTTTGCTACATAGTTCAAGCTAGAATAGCAATTTCCAATACCACGGGCCAAAGTAGAAAGTAATGTGTATAGTTCGGGCCAAACTAAGGTATTAACCCTTTTTTTTAATAACTGCAATTCACCGGAAGTAGCGTACTAAGAAATTCATTTAATACAGGTTCTACCTAAAGTTTTAGGATGTGATTTCAATTTTTATATTCTTAAAAATTGTAAAGTACACTTATCATACAAATTATGAGGGAATATCATTTTTGAAGTACACTGATAAAATATTTATGATTTCAGCACTCATATGATTCTAAAGTGTCACATTCTCACTGTATCAAGTGCTCTTTCAACACTTGATATGACAACGGATAGCAATAGACACAACTAAATTTTGAGTTTTCATTAATATTAAACTCATTTATATTAATTAGAAATTAAATAGAAATTATAATATATATTATTTTGTAAAATTATTTACAATAATAAGAAGGAGGAATTTTACAATGCTATATAATATGGGTGCTATAGGTTTTTGTCTTTATGGTATAACTTGAAATTGTACCTTTAACATTATGGTACAACTTCAGATTGTACCTATACTTTTTGCACAAATTATTTTATGGTACAACTTGTACTTGTACCTTTATGTGATGGTACAACTTCAAGTTTTAAAGTTCTACCATAGCATAATAATACAAATTGTTTTATGATACAACCTAAACTTATACATTTAATGTTATGGTACAACTTCAAGTTGTACATTAAAGCACCAATACTATACAGCATAGTAGAAGTGCTCTAACAAGAAAATCTTATATTCAATCCACAATTACGTAGAAATTTATTACTATATTTTGTGGTTGTGGGCTGCTGCTGCGTTTTGGAGCCAAAAGTTGTGCAAAGGACCTCCACCGCTCGCCCATATATTCACCATATCAATTCCACAATTTCCACATCCTCACGCTCAGCAAACACAGAATAGATCGAGTTCGTCGTCATGGCAGAAACCAACGCTGCGAGAGAAGAATCCTTCAGCTGCGCTATGCGGCTGGTGATGGGCTCGGTGCTCCCCATGACACTGCAGGCCGCCAACGACTTGGGGATCTTCGGCGTGATTGCGGAAGCAGGCCGTGATGCTAAGCTCGGCGCGCCGGAGATCGCCTCAAAGTTGAGCTCCAAGAACCCAGATGCGGACGTAATGGTGGATCGGATTCTTAAGCTGCTGGCTACTCACTCCGTCGTGGATTGCACGCTGGACGACGAAGACGGCGGCTCCGGTGGCCAGCAGCGGCTCTACAGCTTGAATTCCGTGTCTAGGTACTTCGTCAAGAATGAAGATGGCGTCTCGTTGGCTCCTATGATGTCCTTGATTCAAGATAAAGTTTTCTTGGATAGCTGGTGAGCTAGTTTTCACTTCTATCTATCTCTCACCCTCCATCTTCCATCCATTGTTTCACATGTGGTCCTTGCTTGCTTCTGGTCTACTTGTTTTGTTAATTAGCATGGTTCTAAAAAACCGGTGAACATTTATATAAACTCTCCTAGGCGTTAGGCAGAAGAAAAACGTCTCATCTTGACCATAAACAGCGGGTAAGGCACTTCTAGTACGTTGTGACTTTAGCATCACCAAGTCAGCATTGCGTTGCGCCTCAAAAATAACGTTACATTATCTCGTTTTTTTTTTACATTTTTATATGCTACTAGATTAGAGAGAATCTTAGACTCTCCTTTTTTCCCCCTCTTCCCTTATAGAGTATTGCTAGCCCGTAAGCTATAATTAGAGATGACCATTTTTAGAGTAGCTTCTTCTTTCTTTTTTGGCCTTCTCTCTCAATTTGCTATGCTATTTCTTGCTTCTTCTTCTTTTCTCCACACTATGTTTTATACTTTACCAAATGTTTTTGATGAGGGATTAAAAATGAGAGACAAACGAGATGCTATTGATTCATAAACTTATGATTTAAAAAAAAGTATGATATCTAAACATGCTAGACACTAGACAGAGCCTCAACCTCCCACCGTAGCGCTTTCGTGAACCTTAGTTCTTGGTAAACTTCACTTTGTTTCTTGCTGATATGCCTCCCGTCCCTTTAAATTTAATACTTGTATACATACTAAACGCGTTTAAATATTGTAAGATGCGATGCCGAGCTAAGCTATTTTTCATTTCCTCAAGGCCTGAACTGAGAAATACTGTGCTAGAAGGCGGAGTCCCGTTTGATAGGGTTCATGGGAGTCATGCCTTTGAGTACCAAGGGCTAGATCCGAGGTTCAATCAGGTTTTCAACGCAGCAATGTTCAATCACACCTCCATTGTCATAACGGAGGTCCTGAATTGCTACACTGAACTGGGACAGCTGGAGCTAATCATCGACGTCGGCGGCGGCTTAGGACACACCATAAAGGCCATCACTTCCAAATACCCGAACGTTAAAGGGATTAATTTCGACTTGCCCCATGTTATAAGACAAGCTCCCTCGATTCCCGGTAAAACATAGAGGAATCTATCATTGCTTTCGATCTTCGGATGAACCAATTTTGTTTCATTTGTTTAGATTAATTAATGGTGGGTTGGAGTTTCGGTGCAGGTGTTGAGAACGTGGCGGGGGACATGTTCGAAAGCGTTCCCCAAGGAGATGCCGTCTTCATGAAGGTGATATTTCATTTTTGTACATTTTGTCTTTTTTTGGTCGAAGAAAAGAACGTTATTCATGAAAAAAGGCCACTCTCCTGCGGGGAGGAGATAAGATGCTAAAATCCTTTAATTATTACCATCATGGTTTGAAAGTTGTAATTGTTTTGATGAGATTGTTACTATAAATGAATTGTTTAGAATGCATCATTTTTATTTTTATTTTTTAGTACAAATAATACATGGATTGTTTATGGGATATGACATAAACTATCACTCAAAATGAGTGATTGTTATATCTCAGCTTTTAGTTGAGATAGTTGAGTTGAAATTGTTTTGTCTCACATTTTAGCCGATGTGACATACACAATCACACATACCTAACGTTGTATTTTACAATGCATCAAATTTGACAATACATGTATAATATTGTACATGCATTCACAACAATACATTTATTTAACAATCACAATTTCCAAACCACCTCTAAGTGTATTATTGTAATTATCATTCTCCTCGCATCTCCCATTCCCCTTTCCCTCCTCCTTCCTCCATTTCCTTATCTTGGTAATAGCTTTATATATACAAATTATAAATTTGGTACCCAAATGTAATATATCTTAATATTTAGTGGCTATAGTTAATTTTTTACATGTAAGTCATAAAATTGATGGAAAATGATATTTTAGTACCTAAATTATTTTTCAAATAGGTCCACTGTTAAAGAAACTTCTAGGCTACTTTAAGAAACTTATGGTCTGGATTTTGTGGGAAGATTTTGTGAGGTGGATTTTCCCTTCCCAATTTAATTGCACAAGACATACGTGACTCCACCTTTCTCAATTTTTATTAATGATCAGCGTGCCCCTCCGCCTAGTAGCGGACCCAGATATTTTACATAGGGGTGTCCTATTTCAAAAAATAAAGTAAAAATAAATAAAATAATAAAGTACCCGATTCGTACAAGTTAAAAAAGTCCATGATGAATTTTCATACTCTGAAAAAGTTATAAAATATATTTGGTGTCTACAATACACAACAAATTTGTCTCGGTATATCTTATTAGAAAATCATTCATGAACTTAGCATATTCAACTTCTAAATTTGTACTTGATGTAACTAAAAGCTGAAAAGACACTTTCAACACTTGTCGTACAACTATAAATTTTTTACAAATTAAGAGTATCTTGTAATTAGATTAATTGTTAGGTTTTGAAAATAATTAAAGATAGAGAATATTGTTTTGCTATTACATAGTGTTTAGAATAGAAGGACAAAAAAGTTGTAGCCTAATGGAAATTATATTTATTAATAATAGTAGTGTCCCGGGTTTGAATTACCCAACCTACCACTTATATTCCCATATGCAAATTACAAAGGAGAGTAGGATAATCGTTTTTTTTCAAATTTCAGGGTGTACTAGACTATTAATTATAATTTTATGTCCATACATAAATTACCACCGGGAGTTGGATAATCGCTTTTACAAAATTTATGGGTGTCCCGGGACACCCCCAAAGGTCTAAGGGTCCGCCCTTCCTCTATTCCTTCCCCTTTATTAATTGTGGTCAACACATTTAAATGAAAAAGTCATCCAACCGAAATATTTCTAACTCATTTAAATGAAAATTCATCCAACCAAAATATTTCTATTTGTTCAAACTAGTGTTACCAAGATACTAACAAAAAACGTGTTACCATCATGCTAACAAAAATGTGTTATCACACTAGCCCTCCCCAAAATTTTGATATTGTATAGGAATAGTAATATATTTTGGCCGGAACTTTGATCTAAAATATAAAGTTAATAATATAAAATTTATGAATTTTGATAGAAATAGACAAATTTGGTCTAAAATTTAGGTTGACAGTTAAAATTGACGGAGATGGTTACTAAGAGAGATAGTTTGGGCATTGGTATTTTTGAGGGACATAATCAATTTAATTTTTTTTTGTTTAATTTATCAAAGTAAAAAGGAAAAGATTAGGATAAGATAAGGGATCTTCTTGAAGTTTTATTTCAAAATTGTTGTATTCGAAAATTTAGACCAAAATTTTCTTTTACTTAAAATTTTGGGTTAATTGCATGGTTGGTCACTGAGATTACAAAAAGCGTTCATGTTTGGTCACTCAAAATATTTAATCCATTGGTACTCCCTAACATTAGTTAAACGTTTCAACTTTAGTCACTCTCTTTTACCTTCCGTTAGTCTCCGTTAACGGTGTCAATTTTTTGCTGCGTGGCCAACAGAAATGCCTAATAAGAATATTTAAATACAAAACACATTATACCCGACGCAACACATCATCAAAACCCGCCACATCATCAAATCCAACCCAACCCTTCGCAACCCATCACCGGACCAGCCCATTATTCCCTGCCTCTCTGTGTCGTTGAAAAGAAGGTCGACCACTACCTATCTCTCCCCAATCACCCGACTCGACGCCGTTCACCTTTCCGATTTTAATGCTACTCTCGTCATCGTCGTCCACCGGGGGCGGATTCGGGATGACCGTAGACCGTTATTGATGCTGGTGCTGCCGGTGGGCGATCTGGAAAGAAGAGTTGATGGACATTTTCACCGAAGCTGAAGAGGGCTAAGGGGAAGCGATAGATCTAATTAGAATTTGGCCCATGCACATCGCCTATGCTATCTCTGCGGCCGTCAACCTCACTAACACTGACGGCAACAATTCTCGATCTTCTTCGTTCTGACACTCTCATTTATCCCCTTCCTCTCCTAGTCCCTCATGCCGGACACTCTGACCGACCGATCTAGGTATTGCTTGATGATTTTCTCGACCCTTCATCTTCCCACCCTTCGACTGTCATCTTCCCGTCGATCAAGAAACCCTTTCGAAGTAGAATAACCCAAAGGTTCATGAACATGAGCAAGAAAACTCTCACCAGCAGTAGTTGCAACCATGGAGATTCGTGCCATAAAAGTGTACTTCTATATCAAAAAAGCGTATTCGAAAAAATATTTGGAAAAGAAAGGGATATCGGGGAGCAATATCAATAGCTATCTCAACTTATGGTTTTCACGTACCAATTTTTTTTTATTGCATTAATTCATAAATTATGACACGAGTTTGATCTCTATCAATATAAATAAGCTAAGCTAACAAATAAGATATAAGATATAGGGAAGAAGAAAAAAATCTCTTTTTTCCTTCCTATTCTTCTTTCTGAAAAAAAAAACCTCTAATGAATTCCCTGGGAACTTCTATAGTAAATGGAATATACCGAATTGTGATCAATCAAATTAGTTAGTGATTCCGACTCAGTGAATCCTTTCTTCCCTGATGAACTGTTGGCACCAGTCCTACATTTTGTCTCTGTGGACCGAGGAAAAAGGGGCTCAGCGAGAAGAGGATTGTACCATGAGAGAAGCAAGGAGGTCAACCTCTTTCAAATATACAGTTTGTTCTTGTAGTCCAAATAATCGCATACCAGGACGTATCCGAAATAATAGTAATTAGCGAAATAAAAATACTTGTACTTCAACCTGTCCAGCAAATTCCTCCCTCGATTGGTTGGCCAAATAATCGCTCCACCGTCTAGTCTCAGAACTCGTCTTCTTCTTCTGGAGAAGCTTGTCGAGGTTGGCCAGATGCCTCTTGTTGCAATTAACGGTGGCAAGCTTCTTCTCCGGGATACAATAATCCACAAAACAACAACAAAAGCTCGAGAGGCAAACCGCAGATCCGGAGCCTTGCATCTAGGGTTTCTTCTTCAGACGATACAACGAGGCTTTTTGAAAGAATATATATATATAGAGAGAGAGAGAGAGAGAGAGAGAGAGAGAGAGAGGTAGAAGTGGACAAGTTGGTCATTAGCACAGGAATTGAGGGCAGGGATGCCTCAGGTGTGGGTGTCAGCGGGTTTGTGTTGGTTACGATTGAGGAAGAAACGAGGAAACGGGGTGGAGGCTGGTCTTTGTTGGCGACGGCGGAGAGGAGGTGGAATGGTAGATCTGCGTTGGTAAGGAAGAAAGGAGAAAAGGGAAGGGTTTGGTTTGAATGTTCGGGTCAGTTAATTAATGGGTTTGGTTTGGAAAGTTAGGTCAATTAATGAGTTGACATGACAGTTTTCTTATGTGGCCAGTTTGGTTTCATTTTATTTTTTTTGTTAAAATTGGGTGACTCAGCATGTCTGTTAGCCATGTCAGCAAAAAACTAACGCCGTTAATGGAAGCTGACAGAGACTAACGGAGAGTGACCAAACTTGAATTGTTAAACTAAACCTATTGACCAAGAATGGAATTAAATATTTTGAGCGACCAAACATGAACTTTTTTGTAATATCAGTAAATAACCTTGCAATTTACCCTAAAATTTCAATCCAAAATAAAGTATTGTCCCTATTATATAACTTAAAGTACTTTATTTGTAATAAAGTCTTAGGCGTACTATTGATTTGATGCATTTTAGGTACTATAATAATGTGAAATAAATAATTCAAATATTTATCTATTTTAAGAATGCTTGAATTGTTTTTAGTCTCTCATTTGTTTGGACTTTTGTGACACCTTCATCAAACCAGGTACCAATTATATTAACTAAATATGGCCTCAAATTGGAATAGATTCCATGCTTGAGATTCAATGATAATTTTAAAGTTGTATTCCTTAGTCATTTAACTTAGATTGTAAAGAAAATGTAAATACAATTGATAGTCAAATTTTACGCACATTTTAAAATATTAGTCAAATTTTTTGAAATACAAAAAAAGTAATCAATAGTTAATTTTCCGTCCAAATTTTCGATAACTGATGATGAGGTGGCATATTGCGTGCTAAGTTAGAATACTTTTGTGTCATGGAAACATATTGGCTTTTTCGAAAAAACTAAAAATAGAAAAAAAAATTACAACCACAGAAAGGACTTATCTTCTTCTTCGTTCCCCTCTCAATTCTAATCCATCGAGACCTTCGCCACCCAAAACCTGCCTCTGGCGAAGGTATGCATTCCACTTCCCATGAATGCTAAGGCGGTTGATGGACTCGAGTGTAGGCAAAGCCCTAGCCAAAGCAGTACCATCGAATCGTTTGGGTATTTGGCGGCATGCGACATGGCGTGCCAGTTGGAATTATCTAGCGTTGATGTGTTAGCCTAGGGTTAATTGTACAGGGAGGGGCTAGGATGCTAATAATTTTTTTTTTTAGTATGGTGCTAACAATAGCTCCAGCCAATCAAAACACTTTGTTTGGATGACTTTTCTATTTAGTTGGCCAAAATTGGGAAGGGGAAGGAGGGGCACGCTTGGTTTTATGAAAAATTGAGGAAGATGAGTAAAAATGGAAGGAGAACCATGAAGCATGCGACAACCTCCTCCAAGCATGCCACAACCTCAAAACATGCTGCAAACTCCTCAAAGCATGCCATAACCTCCTCAAGCACGCCACAACCACAAAACATGTCACAAGTCCACAAAGCATGCCACAAGTAGTGGACTTGTTTGTAAATTTGAAAAAGCTCAGGTACGAAAATGTAAGGAAACAAAATTTGGGTACTAAAATGTAATTCGTAAATGAAAAAATAATTTTAGGTATCAAATAGTAATACCTCTTAAGTTCAGGTACCACAATTATAATTTGTAAATGGAACCTAGAAAAGCTACATAAATGGAAGGGGAGGAGAAGATAAGGGGAAGGTTGAAGGGAAAATACTATAATACCCTTAATAAATGTGTTAGTATGTTGCTAACACTTAAGAGTGTTAGCATCGTATCCAATCCCTAATTGTACAGGGTGCGACTTAAGTTTAGCGTTTGTTGCACGATAACCATCTAAGTACCTTCGTTGCAACTAAACTATTTAAGTCAAATTTCGGTAGCACTACCATTTCCGTCCCCATGACTAACGGTAGGTGCCAAAATGTAAATAGTCATGCCACTGGGATTGCCACATCAGCTGTAGTAGTATGCTGACTCATATCTAGCCCAATCCCATTTTAAATCTAAAATCTAAACTTAAGTGGCACTTTGTGCAATTAACCCTGTTAGCTTACATGTACATTCATCTAAGAGGGAATGGATCAGGTTCATTAGTAAGCTTAGGATCAGTAAATGAGTAACCCGGCCACATCAACATTACATCAGCATCCTCTTTCTTGAGTGGGTCATTGCTAAAGGGAAAATAGCTAGGGATCTTGGTTCCGGCTGGCTGACTACTCATTTGACCCGCTGATCGTCTGTGTGCTGGTTGTTGCTCTTTTCTGGATCGTCGCCTGGGGTTGGTTTTTGGCTGGGCAGATTGGCCTCTCTTTTGAGTCTAACGTGTTGCTACGCTGCCTGATGGTGTATTTTCTTTTTTTTTTTCTGTTTTGGTTGCTTCTGTTTTATTATTCGTTTTGCTCTTTCCAGACTTTTTGGCCCCTTCCAGTCATCCTTTGTGACTGCTGGCTTTTGTTTGCTTTCTCCGTACTTCCTTTCCATTCTTATTAATTCAAGTTCACCATTCTCAAACAAAAAAAAAATCAGCATCCTCTTTTTTATGGAAAGCCTTTACACTCTGTTTCCGAAGGAAGGGAGGAAAATAGAGGGGAAAGAAGATTTGGAGGGGAGGGAAAAGGAGAGAAGAGAAAGTTTGGAGCGAAGAGAAAATGTTGTTTTATTGAGGAAAGTAGAAGAGAAAGTGGGAGAGAAAAAGTATATTGAGAAGTGTGATATATATGTTATTTTATTAATTGTGTTAGAGTAAAATTGTAAAAATTGAATTTATCTCTTTTATTTCAACTCTATTTAATTTTCTCCCATAAAATACGGATTATTATAAATTGAAAAATGGTCTCTAAAATCACTCAATAGTATAGATTCAATTAAATCGTACCATATAAGTCAATGATAGAGTATTTCATGTTTAATTTAAGTTTAACCATTGTACAACAATTTTATATAAGTACTTCTATATTAGTTTGTGCTCCGATAACAGCTATTAAGCACCTAAAAATAATAAATAATGAATTTGATCTTCTTTTCCACTAAACCTCTTCTCGTTCTTGGTATCTAAATTATTAGATTTTATTTTCCACTAATTTATCCAAAAAGCTGTTTATCTAAAATAATTTGATTACTTTTGCTAAAATATTTCTTTATATTAATAAGTATGTGTTGGATAGAAATCATTTTTTTTTAAATTTTAACGGTTTTATGTTGCAACTAATTAATCGACTGTTTCATGCTTGTAATTATAAGAATGAATTAATAAAATTTTGCGAAGGAATTACGGAAGACTAATAAAGGAGAGAGAGAGGTGAAGGGAATAATTACATTTATTTTGTGTTATAGAAGGCAGTGGTAGGTTGTGTCAGTGGAAAAAGAAAGGAAACAAAATGCTTTCCACCATTCTTTCCTTCTGATTTGGAGGGGAGAGAGGAATAGTTCATTTTTCTCTCACTTTCCTTTCCATCCTTTTCTTTCTTTCCTTCTCAAATGGGTTAACCTCCTTGAAAATTGTACTTTCTCCTTTACTTTTCCCTTTCCCTTCCTTTCCTTCCATTTCCCTCCTTAAAAAACACAATGTTAATATTTAATAGACGATTTCTCTCTCGTTTGAAGTCAAAATTTAAATTTTTTTTGCACAGATAAATCAAATTAATTTTGCTCTTCAAAATGATATCCACTTTGATATTTTTTTAGAACAAAAAAAATTGAGCCATTTTTACGAGTCTATACCATATGGTATTAAATAAGAGCATACCATATGGTATGAAAGTGTACCATGATGGTATGGATATACCAAGATTGTAGGATGGTTGAATACATGATAGTAGAAGTATACTAACTGTCATTTACGACTTTCATCATTGTGTACCAGAAGTTACCACCCCCCCCAATACCAGTGTGGTATAGTATAGTATTTTTCACCAAGAAATTTGTAGATCCAATAGATCATGATGAACTCGTTTCTTCTGTCTAAATATTTTAAAAAAACGACTTTAAAACGAAGGAGATACCATTGATATGGAGTTGGAAACGAGAGGTATGAAAAATAATTTTTCAAAAAATATTGAAAATTGATCTCATTTTGTAGAGCACAACGAACTTGTTCTATCTACAAAAAAATTGAAATCCGAGTTAGAACGAAGAAAAGAAGAGCCAATTAAAGAAAACTAGAAAAAAATAAAATATTTTTAATTTACAACCCTTAGATTTGAGTTTTCTGGGTCCACTGAAAACCAAAGGTACAAATTTAGTAACTTATATATGAGTAATTAATGGTTACTAACCCTATATTGAGCCCATCTAACATACCATTTGAATTAACAGATTTTGACAGAATATGACTGTTATTTTGTAATCTTATCAAACATTTGGTTAGTTTTTTGTATTTCAAAAGGTTCGGTTAATATTTCAAAATGCGTACAGGTTTGACTAATATATAGTATTGACCGTAAAAGATTTTCATAGAATAAACGAATTAAATTACTATTGTTCAATATATTTTGAGGAACAAATATTTGGACTATGTATATCCCCAATTATCGTCGTCTTAATGTATAATTTTTTGTACTACGTGGTATACTGTGGTAAACGACCCTTGATTAACATTTATTTGTTCTAAAATATATAGTAGAATATGATCAATTCAAATTTCTTATAATTTTTTTTTTGTTTATATCACATTTAAAATAAATAAGACATAATACACTAAAGTTTAATGGGCAATAATTATACATAGTGCAGGACCTTGTCGTTATGCAGTTCATCTGATTCATCACTATTGATCTTTTAATCAACAGATAATTTGTTTTTGTCCAAAAGTAGTGACAAATTTTTTTCCATAGAAAAAGTAATGACTTTGACTTCTTATAAATTTCAACTCTCCCATCCTAGTGAATTTTTATATTATTAATCCTACAACCAACATGTATACTAATTTGTCATTCATGTTAAATTATAATAAATTTGTTCAAGGAAAAGATATTAATTTCTAAGCAGTAAGCACATTATAATTAAGGTCACATATTATATATCTTGAAATTATTACTGTTCATGTAAGCACTTCATTTCTTTTGTTGAGAACTCTCGATGATATATTTGCTCACGAGTAGAGTAACCGAACTGTATGGGTTTGCAGTGGATACTTCATGACTGGAGCGATGAGCGGTGTTTGAAGCTGCTGGAGAACTGCTACAAAGCAATTCCAAAGGAGGGAAAAGTGATAGTTCTGGAAGCTGTGGTGCCTTTCATGGCGGAAAATAGCACATGCTCACAGTTATCTACTGCACTCGATGTGTTCATGATGACACAGAACCCAGGAGGGAAGGAGCGAACGAAAGAAGAATTCTTGGATCTGGCAACTCGATCTGGGTTTAGAGGAATCGACTTCAAATATTGTGTGTACAATTTTTGGGTTATGGAGTTCTTCAAATGATCGAAGCGCCAGTTTGACTGTCATGTTTGCTCCCTTGAGAATTGGGGCAAAGGGGAATGGGTAAAGATGCAGAATTAATACTATGAAATCTATTTCTTTGTTTCCGAACCGAATAAACCAGTTTGAATAATCATTGTAATCGATGGTTCAGATAAGTATTCATATTTATTTTCGTAAAAATTTGTTCATATGTTTTTGTTTTCGGTGCACTCACTTTTTCGTCTTATAATGGTCATTATAATTTATGAGAAGGTGATTCATGTCAAAACAATGTCCATCATTATATATGATATGATGGACAAGAAAGCACATTAATGTGCAAAAAAATCATTCAATATTTACTTTTATTTCAAGAATTTAGGGCTAGGAATTCCGCATTAGGATTTATAATTAGGCTAAGGCATTGATTAGTAGTGATCCTATGTTATATCATCATACTAGCCTGCTACCAAGTAAAGTTCAAAATTCGATATCTTAATGCTAGTTTAGAGCTGGGTGCATTGGATTCACTCATTTTTGTGAGTGTACTGAAAAAGTCACCATATTTATGGTAAAAACTGCTATGGAGTTCGACTATATATATATAGGGCAAAATTTAGCTGCTACCCAGTTTGCAGCATCTGGCTGCTACCCGCCCAGGTGGCTCCAAGTAATTGGCTCAAAATTATACAAGCATATACAACTACACAATTGTTTGTGTCTAAAGGTCCAATTTGGTGTAGCTAAAATGTATAGCCATAAATAAATGATTTTGTAGCTCGTGTGGCTAAAAGTGGCGCAGCTAAAGGTTAGCTACACAATTTTGCACTTATGTAGTTAATAATAGAGGTTTTTAGCCACACTAATTGTTTATTAAAGCAAAAATACTAAAAGCGTTTTGCCATAAAAGTAAAAGTGGCGTGGCAAAATCATTGAAGTGTTTAGCTACGCATAACATAATAAATAGGTGAATATAGTCATTGGCTACACACTACTAAAAAAGACTCCTAAGGCGAGGGTTCGCTAGCAAGGGGCTTAATAACCCCTGCTAGATTTTTCGGAGGTGACTATAGCAACGCTTATTTCCGAGGGTCTTGTAAACCCTCGCTAGTAACTTATTGTGTTTGGCGTTTGGTTTCCTTGTCCAAAAAAATGGCCGCCCAGAGGAAAAAACTAATTCAATTTTCAATTCTCACTCGCATTGCGATACCAAAAAGTCAAAAACAAACTTCTCTCTCTCTCTCTCTATCTCTCGCTCTAGCAATTATCTCCGGCCTCTATCTTGCTCCGACGGAATCCATCGGCGAATCTCTCTCTCACACTCCAGCGGAATCAGTAGGCGATTCTCTGATTTTATGATAAGGTTATCCCTCTCTTCAGAATGAAGAAGTAAATGTGCTTTTGGTGTTTCTTTTTGAGTTTGCTCTCCCAAGTACGAGTGAAATTGAGCTCGCTCTCCTACTACTCGGTTTTTTTTTTTTGGCTTTTTGTGCTTTGCATTTCTTTCGCTTGCAATTGTGCTTTTGTGTATGGTAGATCAAACGATTGTCTGGTGCTTTGTGTTTTCATGGTGTGATTGTGAAGTTGTATTTGAATTGATTGGATGAGCTCTGAACAGAGCTAGGTCATTCCGAGGAGCTAGCTGGGCGTAAGGGAGTTCTTCGCTTGCTGGCTCCATCCAAAGAGGTGTTCAAAGCTTTGACGCTAGTTAAGGTATACAATTCTTCAGCTGATTATCTTTGGGCAAGAGGTTGAGTTTCTGTAAGCTATTGAAGCGATGGTGTTTGTTTAATTGTCGCAGAAACTAGGACCAGAAGTTTACGAAGGAACCGAAGGCAATATAACTATATTGGTAAATGATTCACTCTTTGTTCTTGAATCATTGTTAAAATATTCTACATTTACTCGATCAAACCAATCATTCTTTTAAGTGAAATGGTTTGCACAGGGAAGCTACTTTGAGATGTAGAACCTGAGCTAATGGGTGCCTTAATCCACACCGCTAAAGATGGGGACTGGAGTAGGCTGGCAGTGGTTTCAAAGCTGAGGTAGCTGATGACAGAAATAGAAGATGAATTCGATGAGGAAGAAGAGGTATGAAGAGATAACTTACAAGTTGTATGTGGTTAGTTATACTTGCTTATTGAGTTGTGGATGATAATTTAGGCTTCAGACAATTTGGTTCTAGGATTTCAGGTTCATCGATTTGCAGGGTATCCATGGTAGTTACACCCTCGTCCTAGCTTTACCAGAAATACATTTTCTCAATCATCTTAATTGACTCAACTTGTAGTGTGGTGAGATGTGGTCTGAGCTCCTGTAATCGTAGATACCAGCCAACTAGATGATGGAAATAGTAGGTTTTGTTGATGTTCATTATGGTCTGCCATAATTGATAAAACTTATTTGATTCTCCCCCAATATTTATGTTTTGGATATCTAAGCACTCATCACACTGACATCAGATACACTGTTTTTCATAATGGACCGAGTACAAGAATTAGCTTGTCTTTCATCAATGTCAATTAGCTTGTCTTTCATTCACGTTAGCTTAAGTGGGAACCTCTTTCTAATCACTATTAAGATTGTAGTTGTTCAACTTTGCTTTTTGAAGTCCCTTGTTACTTTCCCTGGGGTCCTTGTATCTCTGTTCATTCATTTTCCCTTGCTTTGACAACATTGATAGAAGTCAGTTACCTTGTTTTTCATGCATGTAAGCTTAAGTGGGAACCTTTTTCCTTTCGTTGGAAGTTATGATTGTGAGAGAAGCTTGCATCTTTGCTGATTCTTTTGCCCTTACTTTGAAAGTAAATATCCTATAGTAAGGATATTGTTGCCTCAATTATAGGTTCTTATCAAGGAATGATCATCCTAACTTTTTTTTTTGCTGGGCCCTGCTCCTCTGCTGAAGCTTTTAAGATTGGCTACGCAGTTATGATGCTAGCCAAATGAGTTATCTTTCTAAGTCTTTGCTGGTTGGATAAGCTGAAAATTTTGGATGTATTTTTCACCACATTATATGTTAGAGAGGAACTCGTTAGAAGCAGTAGCATGATTCTGCTGCTGAAATTGGATTTTAGAACAAAGCTGTTGAACAATATTAAGTACTTTCACTTGAAACTAATTGATTTACCTGGGTTAGATCAATGTATCATGGACGATTCAATGGTACTCTAATTAATCTATGTTTTTGTTGGTAGTTTCTCTGTAGTTTTATTTTGTTATAGTGTCTAAGTTTCTCTGTAGTTTCTCAGGGGTGCTAAGGAATGCGATGGAGAAAGTAATGGCCTGCTCTTGTATTTTTATTTTGTTATAGTGTCTAAGTTTGAGATTGCAATTAGTCATTGTTGAGTGCTTCCGCGGTTTAAACATGTCTGTTTTACATGTTTTTGTTGACAGGTACCAGACCATTGGTGTGATTGGTAAAATCGATCAAGCTGCTTCTGACCAGAAAGCCCTTGCAGTTGTTCAGCCTCTTTTGGTAAATCAGGGGCCGCCTAAAACTGCTGATATTCAATGGGTTGCCTTAATAGGTCAATCTGCTTCAATTGATTCTTTTGCAGTCTGGGTATGAGAACTCATTGGAGACTGCATGAAAGGCAGAGAGTGAGAGTCTGAAGTCCATACTGACTGGAGCACCATAAAGTAAGCTGGGTAGAGTAGTTTTGGTGGATGCTCTGGCACAGTAGATTCGTAAACGTTTGAAAGTTCGGATTCCTAACCTCCTATCAGGGTATTGATCCTTCCTTGATGACGATTCTTTTGTGCTTTTATATTTGCTTTGGTCCTGTGTGGGAAAGTTTAGGAATTCATGCTCGAAAAATATATTTTTCTTTGATGACAGGTTTTGCTATTTCAATTTTTTGGTGTTTGTCGGTTGAATTGGCCATTGAAGAATTGGTTTCTTACTGGGAGAGTTCATTATCTGCCTCATAACCATGAGGAGATAAGTAAGAACAGGGGAGGAAAGAATAGAAAAGCAAAGCATGAATCAAATGGTTCTCATTAGTTATTTGTATTCTGCAACTGCTCAGGTAAACTGTTGAACCTGTGAACTGACTCAGTTGAGCTATATTTATCTATTTTAAGCACTCTTTGCTTTTTGGGAACTGATTCCTCTACTGTCATAGGATTCAACAGTAGAACATGTGATAGCCATTACTGCTAGAGGGAACAACGTCATGTTGATGGAAACCTCGCTGATCACACTTTTTCAAGGCCTGTTCGTACACGTCTGCAGAGCTTGGTAGAAAGGTAACGAACAATTACTCATTCCCTTTTTTATACCTTCTATCAAACTTCTTCCCTTCGTTCTGTTTGTATGTTTATATTGGTTGTTTTTATATGTTATATCATTTTCCATTGACATCTGAATATGTGAAAGGGGGATGATTTATTTGTATGGTGGGTTTCAGTAGTTTCTTTTGGAAAGGCATATTACAGAAGTGTGATACATATAATAGGTTTTCAATATAAAAGGCTCATTAGGAGATTGGTTCGGTGATATGCTGATAATTTAGTTGAGTACAGTTCAACCAATTGTCCATTGATGCAAAACTCAATGCATTTGTATGCTAAATCAAATTCTCTGTATGTTTAGATTAAATAGGACACTGTCGAACCAACCAGAACATGATCACAAGCTACCTCAAGGGCACCCTGAACTTCAGGGCAACCCTTTGCTTCTTCATTATCAGCTCAAAAAGAGTTTTGTGTTTTTCCAAGCTACTAAACTGATGATTGTTTATTTGTTTATTCAGGGTTTTGTGATCTCGGACTGGCAAGGAATTGATAGGATTACCAGGCTCTTTTGAGAAAATATTCTATTAGGTTAAGTTTTTTTGTGTTAAGTTTATGGCAATTCATGTTTAGCCATGTGAACAATAGTATGGATCATGAATCATGATACAGATTATGTATTGATGTATGGTATGAGTTTGGTTACTATTGAATATAAGGTTCTGAGTTTGTTTATAATGACCAGAGTATTTGCAACCAGATTATATTCACTAGTCTTTGAA